GGGCGGGCGGCGCGGACTGCGCGCTCTTCCCGGGGTGCGGGCGCGGGGCGCTGCGCCCACCTTAACCCCCGCCGCGCCGGGCGGAGGCCCTGCACCAGCCCTGGCCGGGAGTTTAACCATTTCCCCTTTGGAAGAGCAGCCACTTCCAAATGAACAAGAAAGACAAAGTTATCATGAAATCTTAGTAAGCCCCGGATATCTCAATAGAGTCACAAACTGATTAACCAAGAGGGGAAAACCTGCGGCATGCATTCATGCGCCTTTAAATGATCACATTAATTCCATTAGGATTTAGAGTACCTTTAGGGTGTTGGATATTTTAAAAGCATCTCATTTTGATTCGACGGTACATCACCCACTCCTCCACCCCCAAAGCTACTTAGAACCCAGGGGACTCGACAACACCATTCTAAATAGCGATCTACCAGGCATAAAACAAATGTGAAATCACAGAAGACTCAAGGTATAAAGTAGACGAAATCGCATCAACAATGTTGATCAAGTTCTGACACCAACTGACATGCCCTTTGTTCTTGTTTTACAGGCATTGAAAGATGCCAGGGCATCCTGGAATGCTTGCGTGTAAGCGTGGCTTCATTTACACGGCAGACTCCCGTTTTCTGAGCTTCACACTTGCACCACCGGATTCCTCTGTCAGCCGAGGGAACTAACACGCGTCACTCCCGACGACTGCTCGCTGCTGCTGGTGGCTGCGTTTGCTTGCCTCATTTCTCCCCTCTCTCAGCTCTGAAGGACCATAGAGTACTGCCTTGCCTGGCCTAGTCCTGGTGCAGGGCACCCAGCACGCCCCCAGCAAGGAGGTGGTAACAGTAGTAGGCTCTTTTCTCCGGAGTTCCCAGACCTGAACTACTGGTGCTGACCTAAATTTTCGCTGGGAACAGAAAGGAGGCAACCGTGGCTTTGTTCTTTCCTTTGGATTTTCTACCAAATCCAATCTATATGTTTTTCTTCTTTTTTAATACTCCTGGAATACTCCTGTTTACTTTAAACAGACTCATTCTATCTTTGCTGTTATTTTTTTAAAAACTACTGTTAAATAGCAGAAAATTATTCTTGCCAGCCACCCAGCAACCAATAGTCTGCATTATTATAGCTGAGCCAGGATCCTCCCAGCTTTGGAGCAAGGCCAGTCATTTACACACAGAAAGCATGGTAAGGGTGCTGCAAGCCCATGGCTCACCAGAGCCCCTCACACTAACTACTGTGGAGCATCAGGGCACAGGAAGGATTTGGGCATGGTGGGAGAAAGACCAGAACACTTTTTGCCTTCTGTTTCCGTAGTTAACCAGACAACACTTAATCTTGAAAAGCTGTGCAATTTTACACTTAAAACCTCAGAATACTGTGCATAAATTGGTGTCATCACTAGGCCAACTTATCCCTCTCTCCTCTGGTGACTTTTACTGATATTAAATTCCAAGGAAAATCACCTGCTACCTTTGACTGTTGGAGATCTACAACACCAAAAATACCAGTTGTGAACTTATGGTCTCAATGAATGACTTTAATATCAAAAAGAAAAAATACAACTCTGGAAAGCAATAAATTTCATCTATATTTTTGAAAGGAAAGGAGACTTAACCTATTTTAGCAACAGTCCATTCTTGGAAGAGCCTATTTTATTTCTGTTTTCCAATGGGAAATTATGGAATTAGGAAATTGAATGATTTCACTCAGTTGAACGGCTGTTGTATATAAGCAGATACAGGGTGTAATATTATCTTTGCTGATTTCCAGTCTGATGAATTTGAGGTGTAATATAAGCAGATACAGGGTGTAATATTATCTTTGCTGATTTCCAGTCTGATGAATTTGAGGTTGTTCCCTAAAAGCCTAAGCTTTATCTGTGATCTGTCAATCCATTCCAACCATCTTTACTCCTGTACCTTTCCAAACCCCCTTCTTAAACATACTGATGCCCCATCAAGTGGAAACATGCTAGCCAAACATGAGGGAGAGGGATTCATTCTGGTCTTTGGAGTCACTTCTGTACCAGGCTGAGAATGGCAGAGATGATTCCTTTCATGATAAATTCTGATTCTGTCTCTTGCATCTAATTTCCAGGTAGGTACAAATGAGCATTAGTTTTTGCATCTAGTAATGTTGGTAATGACAACAGCGAGCCTTCCCAAGAGTCCTGTATACATGATTAACTCTACAGGAAAATACTTAGAAATTCATTTAAGATGGAGGATGCTTTATTAATACATTTTCCTGCCACCGCTTTGTTATTATGGCTAGCTAGAAAAAAAGATTCTTTCAGGCCCTTTTAGATGAACATTTCACACTGGTCTGCATGCAGTTGGTCTAAGACAGTCAAACCATCTTTGTGGCTGTGAAGAAGAATGCTGAGCTGCAGAATCCCAGCAGAGTTCAGGTAACTCTTAGGGTAGACAAAGAAAAGCCACTCCCAACCTCACACCTCCTTTGTGGGCCCAGGGATCGAAACTTGATTCACAAATGAAGTTAAGGAAGTGATAAAAGGTCAGAGATACCCACACAATTAATAAGACAGAGTCCATTTTATTCCACCCTATTGAAGTGGTTTGAAAAGATGAAGATCAAAATCGTATGTCAATCGCCTTCCCATCCCCTAATCCCTAAATATAACCAACACTTAGCAGCTTATCTTATATCCCATCTCTTGCTTCATAAAAGCGGCTGGATTTATTTTATTTTTCCCAGCATATCCGAGTTAATGAAAAAGGGATGACAGTCAGAGCAATTTCATTATTTGTGTTCTTTATAGAAACAAGTTCTCTGCCTCCTGGAAAGCAGATTTCTAACGAGCACCACCTCCACCTTCTTCCCCACATCTCCTTCTCCTTCCTCCCTTCCATCTTGCATACATGTATACTGTACACATAAATCAACTTGTCACAGCTTGTCTCTGTGCTGACAGGTGTAATTGCTTCAGGTTATAAAAATATCTATAGGACAATGCCTTTCAAACTCATAGACACACACATGCACTTGATGTGCGCCTGCACACACACACACACACACACACACACACATTCCAAAGCAGAAGAAAACAATCATAGTCCTTTTAATAATTTGGGACAGCAAAGGAGAGGAGAGTGGAGAAGTTTGCCTACAAACTCTGGGGTGCTGGCAGGCAGGGGAGGAACCAGGAGTAGTCTGAGACTTCTGGCATCTCTGGCATGTGTCCAATGAAGCACAGTTGGAATAGGGCAGAATTCCTCATGAAAGGGAAATCAGCCGAGGTTGTGTTAGTTTTACTCTATAATACCTATAGTAAGAGAGGCAAAGTAGATAACCATGGCCATTCCACCATGCAAGGAACCGAAAGAACACAGGCTTTTAAAAATGCCAGTTCTCTTTCTCCTTTTCTACAAAGGCGAAAGGCCCCCCTCTCCTGGTGGAGATTTCACATAGAAGCACAGGCGAGAAAATGAGGAATGCAGGGCAGTTAGAGAGTGGTGTGACATCAAATAGATATTGGAAGATTTAATCAGAAAGAGCTGTGTAAATCTGGATAAAGAGCTGCCTCCAGGGGTGTAGGGAAGGGCTGGGCTGTGGAAAAATACATGCTATTTTTTGCTCTTTCATGAATACGGGATCAAAATAAAATCGCTGCTCTTCTGGGCTGCAGTCCAGCACGTTATGATTTCAGCAGGAGGAGCAAAAGGGCAACTTGAATGGGGGAGAGGGCTCCGGGGAGAGAAAAGAGGTCAGGCATGGAGAGAACTGAGAAGGAGGGTGTGAAGGAAAGCAGAGGTGTAGCTTTCTATGATGGACTTTGAAACTCATAAACTTTATAAGAGATACATAAGGCAGAGAGATGGTGAGATGAACACAGGTAGAGAGAAAAGTAATGAGAGGCGGGATAAAGGAGTCAAAATCAAAGTACTAAGAAAGTAAAAACAGGTACCTGAAAAGCAAAGGGCACATCTCAAAAGTCAGGTGTCTTTGGGGCAAAGCTTTCCTTACATAACTTTTAGGTCACAGTAAGACCTTGGACTCAGAATCATAGAGCCATATATTAAGAAGGAACTTGGAACTTGGAGCTATATATTTAGAAGGAACTACATTTAACCCAT